TGTTGTTGTACCCTGACTTCCCAGCAGCATCTGGGGTCTGAAACACTGTGGGGACATTGTTTGGTGAATGGATGATGGCTTCTTTTTTTTTTTTTTAGTGGTCAGACTTTAGGTTGTTGTGTATTTTCTGTTTACTCTTAGTCTGACTCCACAGTTGCACGGAATCATTGTACTTTTGTGGATATATTCCATTTTACCCGTTTATTTGTGTGTGCATGAGAGTGATGGGTGTCTCATTGAGTCTGCACTCTTTTGTGATATGTATGGGTCCATGCCAGTATTGCTCTCCTTAAAGCCAAAATCAACTCACTGCCTGCTTTCATTTTGTATCATTTTCCATTATTCTTTGCTCTTTTCTTAAAACACCCACAGCTAATTTGCTATGATGTTTTTCCTCTCTTCTCTTTTTTCGTCTTGTATTACTCAAGGTGCTCTCAATTATTCCCTCCATCCTTAAAAGCAGTCATTCTTTGAGTGCGGGAGAGGAAGAGGGTAGGCGAGAGGGAAAGTAGCGGAAGAGGGTGGAGGGAGGCGAGGCACATAGTTGTGGCTGGCTAATTGAAAGCCAGCAGTTTGGTCAGTGAAGTCACAATGTAAAGGGAGTGGTCAGGAATTTGCTAGTTTTATGTGTGTGAATGTGCAATAGACACATATTATGTCGATGTCAGTCCACTTATCTCAGGCCATGATTGTTTATGCATTGAGCATGTTATTTTGACTGCATTAGCTCGATCGTCTATGTGTGTATGAAAGAGAAAGCTTTCCTCCCCAAGGGTAGCACAGCCCCATAGTTGCTGCTGTCCACTTGTCAGGCTTATCTCCTTATCAGTCTCTTCCCCATTGTCTGTTCTTTGTATTTGACCAGTCAGCTGTGGTGACTTGTCTTTCCACAAAGAGTTCGGCAGAGAAAATGTGGTATTGGTTGGAGAAACCAGTCTATAAGTGGTGGATTCAGGAGGATACAAGTCTTAGCAATCCTGTTTACGCCCACTTAATCTCTTTAAGAGAAAAACAAGTGGAAGCATTTCTAAGGCTATTGATTCCTTTGTTAATGTGCACATTGAAGAAGTGCAGAAAAGTGTTGCATGCATGTTTTTGCTTTAATAACCCACAATGACTAAAAATCCATGTTAACAGCTCTGTACAACTAGAGCTGAACACCTGCATGCTACCATGCTTAGTTTTACATTTTCACAAGCAAATGCTTTACAATTCTATCTTAAATTTTATATTAAACCTCACCTTTTGGTCCAACTCCATTGCAGTAACTGCAGGCATTTGGCCTGTCGTGCGAAAGGGTCGGAGGTCAAGGGTTGGTGACCATAACAGGAAAACCCGCTCATGCAAAACAACACATCGTAAACAAACCATTACACTCCATCTGCAGTGGCGTCAAATCCCCTAGCAGCATTCTTCGTGTGAATGTTTGTGTAAGTGTGTGTGTACTAGTATCCCTGTGATCTCCCCCACAGACACACAAATGTAGATCAACACGGCCAAATGGGATAGAGAGGAGACAGAGAGGTGACCATCTGGTATCTACTGAGGCCTGAAATGATCTGCTGAAAGGTTACAATGGCATTGTTCATGTACAGCATATGTAAGCTTTTAGATATTGTTGCCACAGAAATAGATTTGGGTGTGGAAATATGTGGACAACATTTCTATTATTTAAAAACAGATTTATGTTACAGTAGAGTGATGAAAATTAACAAGGGTGGACTCTGGCTCTGATATAAGGGGAGGTAATATTAGAAATCTTGAAATTACAAGGAAACACTGCCAGTTATTCACCCCTGAAATCTTTACAGAGCAGCTGGCTTGGCTTTAGATTTTAGACTGGGTGTTTAAAAGTTAGACTTAAGGATACGTGTCCCCTTAATCAAATTGCTGACTTGTTATGAACGTTTCTGTCCAATTGTACGGAGGCACTGTTGTTCTAATTTATATAGGACTTTCTTTATAACACTTGGAAATGATATTCCCAATTATTTCCATGCCTGTTTAGTAGGAGATCTTTTTGCATCATTACCTTGACAGCCGATTAGCTGATGAATCCAGATACCTTTTCCTTCTCTCTACAAATTTCTTTGCTTTTCATGACTTTTCTTTTTAGCTCTCTCTTAACCATTCTAATTCATTTTCCTCATTTTTACCCCATTTTCAGCTTTCTCGTCTCATTGCTCCCCTTCTTTTGTAACATTTATCTTACTTTTTTTCCCCATTTCTCACTTTCTTTCTTTTTATCCTTTCTCATTTAACCAGTTTGTCCCTCACACACTGCACTGCATTGAATTTTACATCATAACAGCAGATGCTTTGGGCACTTTGGAGTCGTGTTAGCTGGCGGTATATGTCTCAATTTTTGTGACCTGGCACACGCTGTGCAGCTGGGGCGTAGTTCGGAAACATAAAAGGACCGCAGGGACCAGTGTGAACAGCTTCCCCTTTTTCTTATTTTGACAGCACCTCATCTGTCCTTTGTCCCTGCCTGATCCCCAGCTTGCTGTCCATCTACCCACAGTCCGCCCTCAGTCTTTTCTGCTGCCCACGCTGCCCACATGTCAGGCAGCCAGCCTTCCTGGCAATGCCCACTGGTCTAACACCTGCCACTATGCCCACACACTGAGAATGTGTTTTGCACTTGGGTTTATCTGTGAGTACGGATGAGTATTTATAAAAGATTGTAAAGAATACTTGTTTGGCATTTATTCATTGATTCCAATGTGTAAGTGTGTGTTTGTATCCTGCGTGCATGAAGATGTCAGCGTGTTTGTACAGTTTTAGCTTGACATACAGCCAGACTTGTGGATTATACTATCTAGGCTGTGCAATGTCTATTCTAAGATGCCCAGAAGGAGAAGCCTATTAATTTAGCTGCTATAAATACAGGACCACCTCACAGCAGGTCATTCTAACACCTACTGTGCATAACTGGACTATGGTGACAGCTTCTCTACCCTCTGCTCCTGTGTATGCTTTCTTTCAAAGGTGGCTTTGGTTCAGTGGTGCATGGAATCTTCCCATAAAGGAAAAAGGGGATACAACTTTCTCATGTTTTACTTTTCCTCAGTCCAAATTAGTTCTTTTCCCTTTTCCTTACCATTATTTTTACATTTATTTTTATCATCAAACAAAAGGTATAAAAGAGCATAAAAAAGAACTAAACTAGATTACTATATTTTCCACCAATTCAACTGTTTAAAATGACTTATTTCTTTATGTTAAAGGCTTATGGTGGAGAAAAAGCTCATTAACTTGAATAAAGGAATACAATAGCTTTGAAAGTGAATGTTCCACTTATATCACATAGTAGTTAACTCAAATGTTTTACTGTTGTTTGAATTTGCTCACATTTAATTGCTTTTCAGTCAGACATTGCATTAAACTGCTATGCTGTAGCTCCTGTACTTAATTCTAGACTGTTTTTCATCATTGTATGTAGTTTATATGCATTAAGTCTGCTGTGCACGTCCATTTTTCAGTTCTGGAAACTAAGATATTAGTCTGAAGTTTTTATATCCTTCAACTTTGTCTGTGCTCTGTATGCTGTAATTCATGTTGGGCTATAACTTACAACGTTTTAACGATTTGATGTTTTGGTTTGGAGACACTACGCTGAATCCATGTGAGATTTAAAGCTGACAGCAAGTTACTCATTTCCAAAGAAGTGGTTTCTTAAAAAGTACACAAAGCCTTTTTTTGTGCACCAGCGATCCAAGCGTAAAAAAAACTGTCTTCTAAGTTAAAAAATCTTATTTATTCTCGTACTAGTTCTATTCTCAAACCAAGATGGGTAGGAAAGAGAAAGAAAGGGCAGAAGAGACAAAAGAAAAGCCGACTGAGGGCAGCGAAGTGAAACAGTTGGAGTGTGAGTGACGGTAAAAGAAAATGTCCACTGAATGTTTAATGACTTAAATGAAAAGAATAAAAAATTCATAAGAAGCAGAGAAAGAGAGATTATAAATGAGAAATATTTGAGTGGCTGGCTTGTTAATGCATCACTGGAGAGAAGAAACACATAAACGTGAAGTCTGTGATAGATAGTTTTTCTGATTGGTGTTTCCCAGATTGAGGCAAATGCATGATTCACTCATGTTTGGGCCTGACAAACCACATTAGCCCCTGCTCTCAAGGTCAGAACAAATTACTTTTATCTCAGACTTTGTTTGATTCATCGTTCCCTGTGGATTCTTCTTGCCAACTGGATTTGCCTCATTATCTGCAGTTTAAGTTCAGAGACAAGTGTTTTGTCCTGCTGACTAAGTGAAAGACGACTTGGAGATTTATTAAAACCCTGGACAACGTCAACCAGAGCCAGACAGTTTGGAGGATTTAGGAAGATTTACTGTGCATGTGCTGGGGCTTGTGAATGTGTCAACATTGACTGTGTACTCCCAAAGTTTCAAGAATCTTTTTCATCGCCAAAATTGTCCCATTTCTATTCTCCAGATAAGACGGGTCAAATGTGTTTGAGAAAAACTTAAATGTGTGACTAATCACCACGTGTATTGAAATTTGTCATGTGGACCTTCAGTGTTTGACTGTGTTTTTCTGTATTCTGAAACCCGATATGTGTGGCTGCTTCTGTTTGTGAGTGTCTGGCATCAGTAAGTTTGAACTAAATGATTGAGCAGATACATGTCTGCTGGGCATGTAGATATTGTGGTTGTTGTGAACACTGCTGCATAGCGTAAAAGGCCAAGCGTAAACACCAGTGAACAGAACCAGAACACTTTGGGACTACTTTCTCATGTATTCCCAGACCTGCAACCTATTAGCTCTTTCTACGTCTTCTTTACTTATTTTCTCCCGAGCATGCCATTTTCAGCTTCATTGCTTATAGAAGGGTGGACCCATTACACTTTCCCAATGACGTTCTCCATCTTGCATTCATAATGATAAGAAATAGTATGTCATCCTCCATCATTTTAGCCTAATTTTCCTCAACCCCCTTTGTTTTTCTTTCTTTCACCCCCCACCGTCCCTTCCCTTTGCAGGACAGTGACATTCAGAAGAAGATCGACCATGAGATCCGGATGCGTGATGGAGCCTGCAAATTGCTGGCTGCTTGTTCGCAAAGGGACCAGGCTTTGGAGGCAGCAAAGAGCCTGCAGACGTGCAGCACTCGGATCATGGCCTACATGTCGGAGCTGCAGAGGATGAAGGAAGCGCAGGTCATGCAGAAGGTCCCACGCAGATCGTCAGACGCAGGGCCCATGGATGACAGACTCCCATGCAAAGGAAAAGTTGCTATCTCAGGCAAGTTATGACTAAAAGTCTATTTCTGAAATTGAGCTGATGGGGAGCTAAGTTGGGAATTCATTTTCTATATTATTTGCAAAAAATGAAGATGTCCAACATTCCTCATGACTATAAACGTGAAACTAATGGCAGAGGGAGAATTCATTTTAAGGAGCAAAACAATATTAGTATGCATTTTTCTTATTTTCTATGGCTTTGGAACACATTAAAGGTGGAAAAGGAATATTAATGAGGTGTGAGACTGGCGGGAGCATCTGTTTCTTTGTGGATGGAGGTTTGCAGGGGGGCATTGCTGCATATCTGCTACCCAGCTTGAGAGCACACAACACAAAGTCAGTAATTAGCTGTGGATCGTTCCGCCAGTGACTGTAAAGGAGCGAAAAAGGAAATGACACAAACACACACACACACACACACACACACACACACACACACACACACACA